CAAGTTTTTTCAACAAAATGTAAAATAATAAAATACATAGTAAAACTACGTTTGCTTGAAAATAATTCTACAGAATATGTTTCAATCGGGATATCTTTGCTGCGCGGCCACGGCGATAAATCTTACATTGCAAACTTATATGTATATTCCAACTGATAACATGAGGAAAACTACCCCGAATCCGAGAAAAATCGAAGCGCACAGGCTTATGGAAAGTTCCTTGAACAGTGTACTTTCTTTTGAGCTCCTTGGGCGTGACACTACAAACACGAAGAACCAGGCTGTGAAGAAGGTGCCTATTGTCAACAACACCGTGGCCAAATGCGGAAATACAGCAGGATTCACGGGTGAAACATATCGTTGCATAGTCTCCATTTTATCTGGAATGAGATTTTTGTTATAATATATATTAAGATTACATTTTTTCAGTGCTAATCCTCAATTACTTGTTCATAAAACACTTCACTTTTCGCAGGGATATGGAATGTCAACTTTGTGTAGGAAACTTGACAAATACGTGGCCCGGCACCTTTATTTTCTAAATATGTGGCACATAAATCGATTTTTGCGTGGTTATCGAAAGGAATATAAATCGGGTTTAAAAAGCTATTGAGATTTTTTATACAAAAAGTAATACCAAAAGTACGTTTCTCAAGTAAAGCTCGTTTATAACATGAACGAAAGACACAAGATCACGCGGTAAGGAAAAAACGAAAAAAGTTATTTTCCTGCTGCCGAAATCTCGACGCCATCTTTGTTGTAAGAAGTAAACAACGAAGAGAACGGAGAAAACCGCGAAATTGTTGAACGCATGAAAAATCATTTTTATTATGCAAATTCTTCTATAAATCATGCCGTTGTGTTAAATTATTCTTTATCTTATGTGTACACACGTTGTCACAAGTGAAAATGAAGAAAATTGCAGTAAAAAGCCACCACCAAATTGTAAACAACGAAGAAATGTAAATAAACGGCTAATGTCAAAGTCGCCCAACTTTTTTCCTAAATGCGATTATAACGGGCTAGTCTCCAGCCCGCGTGATCTTGTCTTTTTGGTTCATGCGTTTATAAATCACCCCCATGATGGGATAATAACAAGGTGTTGTCAGTTACTTAACCTCACTTTTTCGGCAGGTCTATTCCGGTCACGCATTTTAAAGTAGTAGAAAAGGTATTAGTTATTTACTACTCTTAATCCGTTGGTGCATACTATTTCAAATTAAATGTAGAAAAATGTTTAATTACAGGCTTATAAGCCAGGGCATGAATCACGTATGACGACAATCGTCTGAATGGGTATCGCCGATCTAGACGGGGTTAGATCGCCGAAACAACAGCCCTTGGTCGGGTGAAACCCGAGTCATTCCGGTACGTAGAACCGGCTGTCGGTTCTAAATTATGCTGCGCCAGTTTGGACGCCGGGGACTAGTTGGACGCAGTGGACGAAGCTACAGACTTGTCAGAACGCCGCACTCCGGACAGCGACCGGGTGCCTTCTGATGACGCCTGAGCATCACCTACACAGTGAGGCCCAAGTGCTCCCCGTAAGGGAACACAACAAGATGCTCTGTAAGCAGTTTCTTGTGGGGTGTCACAGAAGTGAACACGCCAACAGACCACTGCTGGAGGAGGAGCCTCCGCCCAGGCACGTCAGGGGGCACCTATTCATGTACAAGGACGCAGTCCAGACCTACACAGACCAACCACTGGACCCAATGACGTACAGACGAGCGATTAACGACATTCATAGGGAGTCTGTCTCCACCTACCTCGACTCCCGGCCTAGGAATGTCGTTATCGGAGCCCAATCACCACCTGTGGAAGAGACGGAGCTTCAGTTACCTAGAGAGACCCGCGTTACCCTGGCTCAGTTACGGTCTGGATATTGTAGCCGCCTAAACAGCTACCTGTCCAGACTCGACCCAAACATCCCAAATGAGTGCCCGGCATNTATAAAAAATCGCCTTTCTATACGATTTTTGTGTACGTTTTTCCCATTGATAACCACGATATCTTTTATTTTTTTTTACATTTTGAGGACAAAAATTATACAAACCATCAATGTTTTTGTTATTTTATGGCCTTATAACAATTATATTCAACAATTTTTATTGAGCTCGAGGCCGTATTTAATGAAAAACTTATTGTGGAAAAGCAACAATAATTTGAAAAAAGTTAAACACTATAAAAATAGAATTATTAACGAAAACCAACAACCACATGATCAAGTGTAAATCGTAGCGGAATAGCTGCCCTTGATTGTGTTGGCTTAGCAAAAATGAAAAAGTGGGAAAAAAGCAATGATAATTTGCAGGTTTGTATAGTAACCAATAGTCAGTACTAATTTGTACTGGAACCTGCAAATTTTTACTGGAAAAGTGTATGATAACCCAAAAAATTTACAAGAGAGCACTGAATCGAGAGCGTAACAACACGNGCAAATTTTTACTGGAAAAGTGTATGATAACCCAAAAAATTTACAAGAGAGCACTCAATCGAGAGCGTAACACCACGGGAGAGCTGCAAATTCTTGCTAGTGAAATTTCTACTAGCAGAAATTAGCTAGCAGAAGAAGAAGAAGAATAAGTGTCAATCTGTCAAACGAAAACTTGTTTTCGCGAAAACCACTTGAAAACTCACGTTCCACTCATTCCAATCGGTGTCTGCACTCGTTTTTTTTCGATTATTTATCGAAGTGGAAGTCATGTTTTATCATTTTTAATACGTCATTTCGGATTGGCTGGCCAAAATAAAGTAAGCATGGAAGTAAAAGGTTGTTAATGAAAAGAATTGAAGGAAAAGTATTTTGGTTTTGTTTTTGTATAGCAAAACTGTAAACAAAGGATGAAAGAAATGTCAACGAAAACACCAACAGTCGGTGTGAACAGCCTTCAGCCCACAATCCCAAAACTCATTTTCAAGGTGTTTTCGTTGTCGGTCAGAACATGGTATAATATGCGGGAACGACTGAATGGATTTGTATGAGAATTTGCACACAGAAAACTTATGACTTAGATTACCGGCCGTCTTCACATGCTTGAAAATCTCGGTATGCGAGAAAAAGCATGCTAAGTACTTTTTGCGGTCTACACGTGCGTCGTCGTGGGGGATTTTCCTGCACGTGAAGACGGCCGGTTAGAAAATAGGCTACTTTTCTTGAGAGTTGCCACCTGTTAAAAAAGTTTCATTAAATTAATACGCGGAAACGACTGAATGGATTTGCAGGAAATTTTGCAAGCAGATAGCTTATGACCTACATTAGAAAATAGGCAAATTTTTTGGAAAAGTTGTCACCTGTTAAGAAGGTTAAATTAAATTAATACGCGGAAACGACTAACGGATTTGCATGAAATTTTGCACACAGATAGCTTATGACCTAGGTTAGAAAGTAGGCTACTTTTTTAAGAGTTGCCACCTGTTATAAATGTTTAATTTAATTAATACGCGGAAATGAGTGAACTGATTTGCATGGAGGTTTTCACACAGATAGCCTATGAGCTAGGTTGAAAAATAGGCTACTTTTTTAAAGAGTTACCACCTGCGAAAAAGTTTAATTAAATTAATACGCGGAAAACTCTGAACGGATTTGCATGAAATTTTGCAAGCAGATAGCTTATGACCTACAGTGGAAAAATAGGCTAATTTTTTGGGAGAGCTGCCACCTCTTAAACAAGTTTTAATTAAATTAATACGCGGAAACGACTGAACAGATCTGCATCACATTTCGCACAGAGATAGCTTATGACCTATGTTGGAAAATAGGCTACTATTTTGAGGGTTATCACGTATTAGGAAAGTTTAATTAAATCGATACGCGTAAATGACTGAACTGATTTGCATGAAAGTTTGCACACAGATAGCTTATGACCTATGTTGGAAAATAGGCTACTATTTTGAGGGTTATCACGTATTAGGAAAGTTTAATTAAATCGATACGCGTAAATGACTGAACTGATTTGCATGAAAGTTTGCACACAGATAGCTTATGACCCAGACTGGCAAATAGGCTACTTTTTCAGAATTGCCACTTGTTTGAAAATGAAATTTTGTTCAAAGATGGTTTATGACCTGGATTGAATAATAGGCTACTTCCTTAACCGGTTTTCCGATCAGAACGAAATTTAGTACAATTACTGCGGATTTCGGAAGGATGGTCTTAGACTGAAAGTCCGATAGCTCAAGGCTCCTCCCATACAAATTGGAAATTTCATATTACATACATATCTCTGGAAGTATTTGTGGGAGAGAACTGAAACTTGGTATGGAGTTGTGTATGCAAAATGTATCAATTGCTCATGGAAAAAATGTGAGTTATTAAAAAAGGAGGCATGTCGCCTCCCATACATACTAAAAACTTCTTAATACATATCTCTGGAAGGATAGAAAATCTCTCGATGTATTTTAAATATGTGATGGAGATTTATTTTATAAGTGCCGTACTTACAGAATAAATTTCATTAAATGGAAAAGGGAGAGCCGGGTTCGGCCTTATAATCTAAAGCTCTCTTGAGGCATTTGCTACAGTAATGAGAAGTGGTATTTTATCAAGACCAGGTTACTAAATTTGAGTTGAAAATATTAGAACCCGCTGTGGCACCTCCAAGAAGGTTACACGTTCACGCGTCGTATACCTGGAACTATTTTAAGGTAAACTTAGAGGTATTGGTATCTTTCGTATTTTATAATTTCATAGTTTTAAACGGCCTAAATACCTTAACTCGCTTAAAAAATAACGAGCTATAACGAAATGGGTACAGAAATAAAATCTAACATAATTAAGTTATTTTTCATATTTGTATAAAAGCGCGGGGTGAAACCCGCGGCTAGTATTTCAGGCCTTCAGGTAGCCTTCAGGAGATCCCAGGTTCGAATTCCGTCAGAAGCCACACATTAAAATTATTTATTCAAATTGAAATAATTGCTGAATCTTAAAATTGTGTTTTGTTTGGTTTCCTGTAACTATGAAAAAGTTTCTGTGAAGTTCCAACGAAAAATTAAATCAGACAAATTTCAGGAAAACAGCCGAAAGCGCATCCGTTTAACAACCATTTTCGATAGTTTTCTGCACATACGTTTCGGGTGAACACTTTAGTGGGAGAATTGATCTGAAAAACGTCCGAAAACGGAATCGGGAAAACGGATGAAACATCAGGTATTTATACGAAATTGTTTCCATTTTGATACGTTTCCGGATATTTTGCTGGCTGGGCTTAAGTGGTTAAAACTTTAAAAGGACGTAGCAAAAATATTGTGCAGTAATATTGAAGAACTTGCTTAAATCGTCAATATGAAGGAAATTAATTGGTCCGTAACCGATTCCGGTATTGCATTTTTGGTCCCTAACCGCAAAATCTACTGACAAAAAACTGACAGCTGTCAATCGAAAAACAAGAGACGGCTTTGTTGTTTTTTAATCGCCTGCGTACATATATCATTGAATTTTTGACGGTTTTGTAAATAATTGTAATTAACGCGACAAGTCTCGGGTAAAATGTCCGCATTTTCCGATTCAGCATTACTTAAAAAGCTGGGGGAATTAAACTCAAGCCAGCAAAGTATTCAAACGCTGTCTCTGTGGTTAATTCATCATCGCAAACACCACGCGTCAATTGTGAAAACATGGCTCAAGGAACTACAAAGTGGTAAGGTTTGGACGATTGATAACTTTGTAATTTTATTTAATTGCACATATGTATTTTGTAGCCGTTTCGGAGGGCAAGAAACTTACATTTATGTATTTGGCTAACGATGTTATACAAAATAGCAAGAAGAAAGGTCCAGAATATGGCAAGGAATTTTCTCAAATATTGCCCAAAGTATTTACACACATTGGCGAAACTTGTACATCCGAAAAACTGTTTGGAAGTCTCGGTCGTATCTTGAATATTTGGGAAGAACGTGGCGTTTATGATTCTAAACAAATTAATGAGTATCGTGGCCGATTGAATAAGGAAATAAAGGATAGGGCAGATGCTAGTAGCAGTGGCACCTCCAGTGAGCCCAATACAAACGGTAGTCAAGGTGGTGGAAGTAAAGAAAAGTCTGAAAAACGTGAGAAACGTAAGCATGAAGAAGGCAAACCGTCGAAAGTGAAACGGTCACGTCCACAAGGAGTTGTGGAAGAGAAGCCTAGTGCTGGTCAAAATGGCGATGCTGGGCACTTAAGTCCATACTTACCATTGGGTGATCCACCAGAGCCCGAGGAGTTGATCAAGGCTTTAGCAAATATTGAAAATTCCGCTTCAAGCGACGCTGTTGTTCGCGAACGAATCGCGAATTTGCCGCCAGAAATATCTGAAATCGGTTGCCTTAGCAAGTTGGAGGACAAAGATGCAGCTAAAGCACTGGCTAAACAAGCAAGAATATTAAATTTTTGTTCAAAACTTTATCTAGCAATTTTCTTATGCAGGTTAATGAAGCTGTGCAGTTACTTAATGAGTACAATGCCCGGCTAGCCGCTGAAATGGAGGAACGTACAAAGTTGGCTTCTATGTTGAGAGATTTTCAAGCAGAACAGAAAGAGCTTTTGGTCCAAGCTGAAAAACGTTTAGATGTGAGTAAACACTTATCATTTTAATTCTCTAAAGTTTTTCTAGATTGTAAATCAGTGGATACATTAAGAGCCACGTTGCATGTTATGTAAGAGTTGCGGGAATGAATGGCATACTTGGTTAATCGATTAGTCTTCTAGTTGTTAGGTTTCTAGTACATATTTTTAAGCTTCGGCAAAATTTAGTTTAAAATTTAACTCATGTTCTTAGCTGTACGCATGTGCCTAGGACGTGCTCGAGCTACGTAATAATTACCGCAATATTGAAAGCCTTGTTGCTTTCTTGATGCTCTGTTGCATATGCTCAACCATGATAAAAACATAAAAGAATCATGGCCGACGAATTGAGAGAATGGTTTTACCTTCTAATGTTTTTATCATGTGCTCAACTATGAATCTGCTGAAATACTTCAGAAATAAGTAAAAATTTATGTTGGGAGTTTGATTTGCTCTTCCTTAAAAGTGAAGGCCGGATTTATTACAGCTGTTGTGACAGCATAAAAAATTATACGCAACATTGAAGAAAATCTGACGAGCAGCAGCTCTTGGCAAGCAATAAATGGTGGCGATTCCGGTATCGTACACCCGAATAGAGGGCATTATGAATGGGTGATTTCTTATTACTATTAGAATACAGCTGTCGGCATTTGAATATTTAAAACTATAGTTAAATAGTGATGCCTCGATCGTGATTGATTTAATAATTCTTTATTTTTTAATTGGGACTAATCAAAAATGACGAAATTTTACCAATAACCGGTATACATACGTATTATGCCGGATTTCCATTAGGGATTGCAATGGCAAAAAATGTATGCCATGTGGAACAAGCCAACCTTACTGTGAAAATGAACTTAATGACTATTTTTTTAACGTTATGACACGATTATTTTTTAATGCCCAACTTTGTTATTTGCCAGTTTTGCCATTAAATGCCTAGTGTAAATCCAGCATTAGAATTTTTGTTTACATATTGTTTTATAAATAAGGTAATTAACCGATTGTGGAAGAATGAAGCAGTTAATTTTCTTTATTATGTAATTTATGTATATATATATATTAAATTTTACAATTTATTACAGGAATACAAGCAAAAATTGAATCGAATGGTTGCTGTTCAAAAGGAAATACGTGATCATCTATCGAATTTGCCAGACTTAACCCAGTTGCCGGATGTAACTGGTGGTTTAGCACCATTACCTTCAGCCGGTGATCTCTTTAACATACATTAATAAATATAATTGAATTGTTTGCATTAAATGTTATTCAAATTTAATTATTCAAATGATAACCACGCGAGAATCACTTAAATTATGTATACATACACCAAAAACTTAAATTATACCAGAATTGACAAAAGATTACTACAAAGTTTCAATCATGATACAAAAAAGAAGGTAGTTTCAATAAACAACTTTTGACGGATAATAAAATTTTTTGAAGTTTCATAAATTGTCAGTATTATCAACGGCCTTGCCACTTTGATAATATTAAAACAATACATCGGAGTATTTTCTTTCCCATATTTTTACCAATGTGAGAATATTTCAAATCAAAACTCATAATCAGTACTTGATATTTTTTTACTTACGTGGTTTGCCCCTCTTTTATTAAAAATATATAAAATGTAAACTGTTACATTGTAATTATTCTTTTTATTTTATAATAAAAACCATTAGTGCATTATNGCAACGGAAATTGTTGGGGCTGAAACAAGTGCTTCTTGTGTGTATGCGTATAGTAATTTAAAAAAAATTTGTCAATAAAAGGTTAAAGAATAACACTTAGAAAAATACCAATACAAGAATGAATGTAAAGTTAAAGGCAAGGCAAAGATAAAAATAAAAACAAAGACAAAGATCCGTAATGATAAAGGTAAAAATGAAGACCAAGGTAAATTTAAACACTTCACTTATGTATATAGGGGCAAGGGTGAAGGGGAATATGTAGATAAAGAAAATTATCAACATAAAAGTAAAGACAAAGATGAGGATGAGGATACCGATAAAAGTAAAGATGAAGATAGGGGAAGAAAGATTAAAATAAAGGTAATAAGAGAGGAAAGGATATAGGGGAGACACAGAGACTCTGTTTGGGAATTATTTGGTGATTTAGAGCTTTTCGGGATTCTCTGGACTTACCGATAAAATAATCGATATTTTTATCGATTTTGTTATCGAGATTTTTATCGATTTTCATCGAAATTTTTATCGATATTATCAATTTTGCTATCGATATTTTCGGAACTTTTCGATGTAATATCGATTTTGTTACCGATATTTATCGATTTTGTAGTCAATGTTTATCGATTTTGTTATCGATATTCATCAATTTTGTTATCGGTATTTATAAATTTTTGTTGATCGATATTTATCGATTTTGATATCGATATTTATCGACTTTGTTATGGACATTTTTATCGATTTTGTTATCGACATTTTTATCGATTTTTATGGATATTTTTATCGATTTTGTTATCGATCTTTATCGATGTTTATCGATTTTGGTATCGATTTTGCTGTGGATATTTTTATCGATTTTGTAAACGATATTTTTATCGACTTTTTATCGATATTTTTATCGATTTTGTTATGGATATTTTCATGGATATTTTTATCGAGTTTCTAATAGAGTTTGCTACCAATATTATTATCGATTTTGCCATCGAAATTTTTATCGAAATTTTCATCGATTTGTTATCTATGTTTGTATCGGTTTTGTTATCGATATTTTATTGGATGTTATTATCGATAGAGTATAAAGATAAAAATGAAGATAAAGGAAAACCGGATAACGTAAATGTAATTAGAACGAACAGGGGTAGAGGATCAGGACAGAGGTATAGATCCCTAATATAGAAAAAAGACAAAAAATAAAACCTTAAGCAGAAGCAGATGTATGTATGTATATTGGCTATGAAACAAAACAGATATGTATGTAAGTTTCACTTCTCCAGTGTGGCCCAGGCGCACTTACTTTTTTTTTTGTATGCTAAGTGAGGGCGTTTCATACATATTCAAGTACATACTGTGTCGTTCAATTAAAGTAGCTTAATCGGCTTTAAAAGGTTCGACTTTGCATTAAAAAATAATCAGTTCCCCTTGGAAATGTTTATATTTTTATTAGGCTTACATTGAAAGGGCATCTTGGACTACATGTATCTAGTTAAACTTTAAAATATTGTTTGGAAAGCCAATGAACATTTTTTTTGAAGGGAAAGGGGCCTATCCCGACATAGGCTAGTTAATTGAGTGGCACAAATAAATACATATCGCTCATTTACTTCAATAGTGTCATAACTCAAAAAGGCAAACTCTCGAAATCAAAAACGAGAAAAGGTAGCGGTAATTTCTGCTTGCTTAACTCAATATTTTAATTTTTTGGATAATGACATTATTTAGGTATATTAGCGATATGTAAGTGTAAAATTTACGAAATTCACGTGCTGGTAAGGTGTGCAATTAACGATATATGATAGATGACGTCGTTACTACGCAGAAGCTACTAAACCTCAAAATAGCTTAAAATGAGGGAATGAATACCAAGAAGACGGGTAAACTGCTAATGATCGGGATAGACGACCTGTCGTTAGAAAATGCGTTGGAAAGACCAAGTGTAGAAGGACTTGGCTTCACTTGGCATTTTCCAACTCGATCAAAGTTGCTTAGGCGGTTAGAGCACCACACTGTGGAACTATCCGTTTAAACCTTCTGGGTCTTGATGTTTGATATCAAAGTGTTACTAAGAATTTCCAACCACTCAGATAATTTGCCATCCACCGTTTGAGTTACTAATGAAAAGAAGAGGACTTAATATCTCCCAGTGGTATGGAGTGACAAACGGCATCGAAGACTTTCAGCAAGTCCAATGCTTTTGGAACACTCGACTCGCGAAAAGTACAGTTACCCACACACAAGTATCTTTGGTGAAAGCCTACTCTCACAGCCTCAGCAGGAGAAATGACTCTTTAGCCTTTTACTTCCTCGACGGCTAGTACGGTGTTATGAGGACTTTCCGACTTTACTTCTTCACGTGAATTTTGGACCACCCTAATATATGTATGTACATACAAATTACGAAAAAACTGTATTTTTATTAATGTGCAAATAGTTTGATATAAATTTTTTGACATGAGAATCTCAAAAAAAACTTTACACTGTACCCTTTGAGGACACTTACAACTCTCTAATCGTGGCTTAATGCATTGAAGAATTAGCCTGACCATTCCATTTCTCAACGAATGCAATAATGTCTGCCACTTTGCTGCCAGGCGACATCTTAAGTGCGACAGTAAATTTGCTCCAAACATCCCGATTCGCTTGACGGCTCGACGATTGAAAGGTGACCGGCTGACGGCTACGTACAGGATACGCACTTAATATGCAAGGTACTTCATCTGGCCCGAGTGCTGATTCGTATAGGCCACGGTCGTCAGTGGGTAGAACCTTAAATTAGTTTTCCAAAAAATAGCAGGTTGAACACGATTTTTGAAATGCATGAATATATGTACATATGTATGTAAACCATACCTGATCAACTTGCTGATCCATGCTTATGGCTAGCACCCACTCGCGTACCTCTTCATGCAGACTAGGATCATTTTTAAGATGTATGTCTTCTGGCAGTGGCACTGAACTTGGAAAATCAGTAGCAGCCAAATCGGAATGATCCACATGATGTCCAGAGCCCTCTTCAATGGCTTCGCACACATCCAAATAGTGGTTGAGCATAACAAAAGCTTCCGCTTCGCGGCCGGCATTACGCAGATCGGTCCCGGCTTCATAGAAACCTTTGTCCACTGGTATGATGTCCGTGTAGCGCAATAAAGCGATTGAAATACGAGCAGCGATTGGTTGTAAGGATTGCACGGGTCGACAAGCGGAACGCACAGCGTAGTAGTGACTAATCAGCAAAAATTTCTCAATGTTGTTGGTAATTTTTGCATGCGCATGCTCAGAAGATTGCAGTGACTTTAGCAGTTTGTAAAGGAAATCTCGCAAATTCCGCCACTGATCCTCCTTGGCCTGGTCTTCACGTAAAGCAAAGCAATCCATTGCTATGCGAGAGTAGATGTTGAAATTGGCCTCCAGAGGTGGCGCGCCATAAGTAAAATAGAGACTCAATGCTGTGAGGCAATCACCTTCGCGTATGAGTTGGGCTGCATAGAGAGCGATATATTTCTGTAAAACTGCAGCGCTTATCTGTTTCGCCTTGTCAAGACAGCGTATCCATTGCCCTTGTTCGGCTAGCATGTCCAAAGCGCTCATGACGTCTGAAGAGAATGAAGTGCACACGCTTTGAATATATCTAAAGTGTCCACAATTAAAGTACGTACTTACCTATGTCAGCTAACTGTTCTACATTGCCTTCGGTCTTAAGGCGCGATTTCTGCTGCTGCTCTACGTAGCTCATCAGTTCAGGATCCAGTTCCTTTGCTAGGCGTCGTGCCTTCGACCACTGCTCGGCGCGTATAAAAACCTCTACGGCGTCTTTGGGCATATCAGCAGCTAGATACAGCTGCGCTGCTGGCCCGATTTGCTTGATTTGTAGTAGACGTGGCCCTAGCTGAGTTGCTACGTTGACTGCATCTTTGCCTTCCAAAAATTGGTTGCATATCTCAGCGGCTCTGAGTAGAGCGCGTTCCACTGTGGTTTCATCGTCTGTATTGGTGGAGTTAATTTGCATTAGACACTCAGCGGCCTTGCGAAATTCTTCACGCTTAGCGAATTCGGCTGCTTTTTGCAGGTAAGCACGCGAATCGTCATTATGTTCGTTATTTCGGCGTTGCTCTTGCGTTTGCAGACGTCGTAGATCATTCATTGCCGACGGATAGTGCTCCTCGGCAATGCGCAGCGCTTCATCGAACATACCCTCATTCTTGTAATGGTCAATGATCAAATCGGGACGTTGTGCACGCAGCAGCAGAGCTTCATAGTCGGGATAGTTACGTGTATCCAAAGCAGCGGATGCTTGCCCAATTAATATATCATTGACAGCTTCTGCCAAATATTGCTCAGCCACGTTTAAGGCAGCTTTCCAATCACCTGCATGGGTGTACATCAGTATCGCCTCCTTGGGCTTATTTGCTTTGATGAACTCGCCTTCGGCTTCCTCGAACTTGCCTTCGTCCTCAAGGGACATAGCGATTTTCATGTGGACTTCATCCGTGGATTTACCAGATAAACGACAAAGATCCATGGCGAAATCGAACTGCCCAGAATCACAAGCGAAACCCACAGCAGTGTCCAGCAAACCCAACTTGGTGAGCAAGCGGACAGCGCTCTCGATCGGCATCGACTTCGCCCACATGTAAGCCACCTGGTTACTGGCGCCATCAGTGCCTTTTTGCTTAGCCACACGATAA